TTATATCATGAAATATAGAATTATTTTCTTATTCTATTTCTCTGTGTTTTCATTGTTCAGCATCTTTTTCTGGTTTTCCTTTGGTCTATTCTAACGTCCTTTATCTTTCTAACTTCTTAGGTCTTTTGAAACATAAGAAGTTAGTTGTTGTTTAATCATTTTCATTTATATTTTGATCTATTTTCATATGGTCATTACCATGCATAAAAATAATCCATTTCATTTCTCAAAATCTTTCACAGATCTGAGCTGAATCAAAGTACAAATATTAAACTCTTAAAAATATTCCGTTATATGAGATCATGTATTTGGCCTTAATTTTTCATATGTTTGGTACACAAATAGGCAACGTTTTGCCTCTATTCCTATAAACAAAAATGTTGACATCAAAAGGCAGCTGGTGTTTCTTTGCTGAGGCTGTATCATATTAATTAGAGTATGCAATTAAATATTTTGGAGAAGCTATATTAGCACAGTATTTTAAAACAGAGGATTTTAGTGCTTCAAATCATAAACATTGGCTCACAGTGAAAGACACTTTAACTGAAACATGTTACAAATTGATAAAGCATGAAAACACATAAGAATAACCGAATGTCAAAATTACACACATTAGTCATGTTAAACTCCTGGAGCTAGAAAGCCTAAAATAGGAGCCTAAGGTTTTACCTATAATTCCTGTCTTTAGTTTCTATTGAATTTTGTTCTCTGAGATTTATGAGCACGTTCTAAATTCAATCCATTTACAAGTATAGCATTTCTTTTTATGATATGGGAAAAATGTTTTATTTCCATTAAATTGGAAATAAAAATTTAGTTCTTATGGGTTTGATGGTATAGCACATATAATGTAATATATAGACTTTCATTGTAGAACTATCTAATATTATGTACCTATACATCTTATAGTTAAAATATGTAAAGGAGACAATTTTCAACTTTCAATTTGAAATGCATGCATTTATCAATAAAAATAAGAAACCAGGTAAATGCAAATGAAAATGCAGGAAATGAATGTAATTATTTCCCATATGATCCATATAAGGTAACTTTGTAGAATAATTTGGACTTAAAAATAGAAAAAAAGGAAGTTCAGTTAGAAGTTTTTAAAGTTTGAGAGATAGTCCATATCTTCCTAATTTTAACATAATCCACTAAAAAGGCCATTGCAATTTCATAAAGTAAATGTGGAAAGCAATTGGAACTATGGAATACTGCATGTATTTTGAATTTTAATTAAATCTTTGAAGCTTAATTTACCAGTCATAATATATATATGTGAAAATTATTTATAATATGGTACTTGAATTGAAGAAAATCACCAATTTCTGAATGAAATCTTAAATATAAATTTAGGAAGATATAGAAATTAGATAAACAAAGTATGTTGCATGTTATACTTCTCAGGAGTAGTGTTTAAGTATTTATTTCTAGTATAGCTAGAAACCTAACAAATTTAATTGTCAAGCACTAATTAGTGTTATGTAAAAATGTAGTAACTTATTTCAAATGTCAGCAAAAGAATATAGACTAACTAAGTAATATATGTTGGCCATAGCAATACTTTTCTTTAAATTTTATGACTAATTCCTGGGAAAGGGCATTCCTTAATTTTATAATATAGATAACATATGTCATATAAATTAAATTTGGGTATTTAGCATATTTTATTATATGATCAAAATTCTTCATTTCAATAAAATTGTCTGAAAAGCATCACTGTAATTTCTTTGAGAAATATAGCAGAAGTAATATTTCTATCATCCAAAAAACTCTTAGAGAAAACCCCAATTTCAATTTAAGTTTCCATGCTATATTCATATGCCATAACTATCTGTTACCAAGGCAAAGTTATCTAGCAGGCAAGATACAAAATAAAGTTTTATAATATCTGTAACTAAGGATTGTATTTATTTTAAGTATTTTTATTCTCATTACACATGAGGTCACAAACATACAGAAAAATGACAATTCTTAAATCATCATGATTATTAAAATAAAATGTAATCAAATCTTTCAGATTTCTTAATATAAATTCTAGTCCCCTTAAAATAAGTCTTAATTTAAAGCTATCTCTGCCATTACTATTGAATATCATTTCAATAAGGAGAAGAAATTATCAAAATTATCACTTTTAGAGAAGCTACATATGTTTAAAATCATTCTGATTACATTTCCTACAAAAGATTTACAGCTCTCTTTTTTTAAATACTCAACCTCTTTATAATGTGCTGCTTCATATCAAAATCTGGCATGGAATATTGGTATTAATACAATGTTTTTCAGGAAAATTCAGCTATATTAAAAATAAAAGATAGTTAACATGTGATTTAAAATGAGCTTATAGAAATTCTATAACTTTTACAATTTTTGCAATTCATGATGGAATTAACTATTAAAAGTAAAAAAAGGCATCTTTCAACCCTGGATTTTATAGATGTAGATTCTGAAACCACTATTACAGGAAATGTTAGGGGTTTTCTCATTGATATTACATTAAAAATTATCTATGGCCTAGAAAGTAAAATTTAATATTTTATCTTATTTCAAATATTAAAATATACTAAAAATTTTAAAAACTATGAAATAAATATATTTTGAAATCCAAAGAAAACTAAAGTCACATTTAATTCTAGAACGCATCAAGACTTCTGTTTTACTCTTTTGAATCACACATTTTTCTTCCAAAAAACATTTTTCTTATATTATGCTTTGTGCTTGAAATTTATAATTTATATTTATTTTGATATTGTATGTTTTGTAGCTTTAATTAAAAAGACCTTTCCTGCCAACTGTATTTTGAAAAAGAGTCCTTCCCTTTCTAACATTTTCTAATTTTTCTTTCACAGACTTCTTGACCTGTTCTTCAGAGACTGCCTGACTGGAGTTGGTTGGAGAGAAATTTGGGGACTTGTTACATCTGATATGGTGAGTAAGAAAAAAAATCAGCAGTCACCGGGCAGGTTTAACAAATGACAACTCTGGAGATTTAAAAAAAAAAAAAAAAGTGTGGTTACCTGTAGCACTGGCTAAATTCAAAACCATTCATTTCTCAGCTGCTCAGCTTCCTCTAAACCACTGTAATGCAAATTAACAGGACCTCAAAGGAATTTTTTATATTGATATCTGCAGATCAAGTGTATCTTTAGTTAGTCTTGCGTGGTATTTTCCACAACGCTTTTAGTAGACAGCACTATATTATGTAAATATTTCTGGTTACTATTTATTTTAGTGGTTGCCCAAATTTCTCTTTGGATATAGCTTTTTAATGCTTTCACTCAGAATCCTAGAGGAGCTACCCGAGTTGGGAAGTTTAGTGTTGCTCTTTGTACTTCAACTTTTAATATCAGAGCACATATTGAAACCATAAACACAATGAAAATTCAAAAAATATTACGGCAATATTAGAATATACCCCCTCCTTTTATTGTATCCCTGAAGAGCCAAGAGCGTGGGGAGTGGCAGGAAGAAACATTCTTAAGATCTAAACTCTGGACACCGTCCTGCTAGTGCTTAAGCCCTTAGAAACGTGCAACCTGAGGAACACCGCCTTTCCAAGACTAAAACAATGTTAGATTCCCAAAATATCGGCAAAGAAAGCCTTACCGTCAAACGCTTGCCGCAGGTTCCAGCTCAGACCCAGACTGAAAAGCTGAGCAGCTGGTGAACAAAAGTTTTAACTTTTTTTTTTAACGAAGTCTGCAAAACTAATTTCCCTCAAAATAGGGTTCAATTTCCGTTAAAGAAAGCAGCGCTTACAAATCTTAGAATTCCTGATCACCCCACCCCATCCTACCTCTGAGCAATGGAAAACACTTCGATCTTTTACCGGGATGTAAAGGTTTATTGCGAAATCACTAGGAATCCTGCAGTGCTGCTTAAAGGAAAAGGGAGATAGGCTGAAGCGAGAGGGACTGAAGCGAGAGGGACTAGGTCTTTCTGCCTTGAGGACACTCAAAGACTAATCAATACTTTTTCCTAATTCAAACCAGATGGTTGACCCAGTTTGCTGTCCCCATTAATCCCATTAACGACTTCAAAGACCTGGTCCCCATCCTCTGGACACCTGAGACAATGAAAATAACTGGGCGACGCTTGTGTAGCATTCGGCCGAGAGGTGCGCGCGGATATTCTCCGGATGCGCTGTGTCCCAGGCAGCCTCTCCTGTTTCTGCGTCTGGCTTGCCTGTGTAAACGACTTTGCCTCCAGCAGGCTGTCGCCCATCAAACAAGTGGAAGTATCAAAACCTAGCCGTCGCTGGCACTAATTCACCGATGGCAAGTTTGCTAACTCAGTTTCTGTGTTGCAGGACTGTAACCCTGGAGACCTGGAGCACCTAAATTGGGGAATATAAAAGTGTGATACTTCTTAGCAAATAGGACCACGGTGGGGGTGCGGATGAGGGCATGATTATTTGGTTGATTTTTGAGTGGACTAGAGGATTAATTTTGGGGGCTGGGACCGGGGAGAAAGAGGACACAGCCTGGCTCCCAAAGGCAAAGGTTGGCAGGGTGCCTGCAGTATACACATCTCATTGACCAGAACCTAATCGCTTCGCAGTCTTTTGGACCCAGGGAAAGTTCTTGGTGGACAGGAATAATTTTACTTACCTGACAAAAAATCGACATATGGCTAGGAAATTGAGTGGGACCAAGAAAGCAGGAGGTGGGGGTGGGGGAGGGCATTTGTAGAAAGCTAGGCAAGGGAGAGTCCACCCGGGAGCCCAGGTGAGGATGCTAGGACTTGGATATCTGTAACTGTCAACGCCCCCCACGGTCTCCTCCCACCTGGCCAACCAGGTTTCTCTCCTTTCGAACCTTTCCAGCCCGAGGTACGCAGCCCTGCAAACTCCCACCCGGCGTCCCAGTGCATTGAAAACCAACCCATAGTCACAAGCTGCAAAAAAGCGGGCGCCCCACCCCGCTCGTCCTGGCCACCAGAAAACCTGACGTTTGAAAAAGTTCACAGAACGCGCACCAAACTAGCAGTGATCTTTCTTTACCCTTAACCTTACTGCTACTTGCACGCTCCTTAAGAAGTAGGTGCACGTTTAACTTTCCTGCAGGTGACAAGGCACCTTTCCTGAGGGGAGTGAGCCGGGCACACGCCGGCTGCGGAGCTGGGGCTGGGGCTGGGGCTGGGGCTGGGGCTGGCGTGCGCCTTGCAGCGACTTAGCTACTGAGGCTGGAGGCGAACGTCGCTGCCTGCCCTGGCTCGGGGCGCGCCTCTTGCAGCGCTGGCGGCTGGCAGCGGCCGGCGGGCGTGGACGCGCTGTGTGCGTCCAGCCAGCGATAGGAAGTGGAGCCCGGGGCGCGTGGCGCACACTGAGCGGGAGTTTTGGAGGGAGTTTGCATGTGGTCAGCGCTTGGGCTTCTAAGCCAGCCCCCAGCTCACATTACACTCTATTTATAACCTCTCAGAGCCATTTCCCCCTGAAAGCAGTTCTCTGGGACCACCTTCTTTTGGCTTCAACCTCTCCTATTCTTGACATCTGAGTAGCTCGGAGGGAAGCTCCTCCAGGTCCCAGTGTTTATACGTGAAAGAGACTGGTCTCTAGGGCGCTGGGCCGGGATTATCTGAACTCTGCAGAAACGCGAGCGGCTATTGCTTGGGGAGGGCGAAAAAGTTAACACGGTCTCCAGTGAAAAGTGACAGACGGTGGTGGCGTTTGGGACCGCTGCGAAGTCTTCTGCCTGGACCCTGAGACTTGCATGCTATGGAACACCCGCTCTTTGGCTGCCTGCGCAGCCCTCACGCCACCGCGCAAGGCTTGCACCCGTTCTCCCAGTCCTCTCTCGCCCTCCATGGAAGATCTGACCATATGTCCTACCCCGAGCTCTCCACTTCTTCTTCATCTTGCATAATCGCTGGATACCCCAACGAGGAGGGCATGTTTGCCAGCCAGCATCACAGGGGGCACCACCATCACCACCACCACCACCACCACCACCACCAACAGCAGCAGCACCAGGCTCTGCAAACCAACTGGCACCTCCCGCAGATGTCCTCCCCGCCGAGCGCGGCTAGGCACAGCCTCTGCCTGCAGCCTGACTCGGGAGGGCCCCCAGAGCTGGGGAGCAGCCCGCCTGTCCTGTGTTCCAACTCTTCGAGCCTGGGCTCCAACACCCCAACCGGGGCGGCGTGCACGCCAGGGGACTACGGCCGCCAGGCGCTGTCACCCGCGGAGGCAGAGAAGAGAAGTGGCGGCAAGAGGAAAAGCGATAGCTCAGGTAAGGACGCGCCCGCGCGCTCGGGGCAAGAGGGCAGAGAGGTGACAGGGCAGATTCTCGCACTCCGGCGCGGTGTTCGGGGAGATGGTCCTATCTTGCACTTTCTGGTTTCCCGCGGGGCAGCTTTGGCCGTGTTGTTTGCGGGCACGTGTTCTCCTGGGGCAACGCTAGCAGCCAACAGCGCTACTCTGCAAGGTTTCAACTCGTTTACCAGAGGGTTGAGAAGAAAGGACAAGTGACAGTATGTGAAATCGATTGGGAAGCGTGACCTTCCATTCGAGCTGATGGGTGGAGGAGTGCACCCTGGGCTGCAGCGTCAGCCAGGCCAGCCTGCGTGCCTGTGCCACTCTTTGACTTTTCCCTTGCAAGTTCCTGACTCCAAGTGACTCTTCTTTCCCCGTGGTTAACTGGATTTCCATATTATTGCACAATATTTGGAACTTGCAGTGGAACTTGGCAAAGTGTATGAGAAATAAAAGTTTCAGATTTTTTTTTAATTCTGATTTCAGAGTTCTTTAAATAGCACCCTATTCCAAATGGTAAAAAAAAAAAAAAAAAATCCCTTTCGAAGGGAAAACACAACCTAGGAATACAGAGGATTTTAAGGAATGTGTCATTGAAGCATAAATAAATACTTGGTCAGGCTCTTGAAGAAAAACTTTTCTTAATAAAAGTTGTATTGAGGAGGTGCTAATCTTCAGAGAAAATCTGCGTTTTGAGAGAGGAAATCGTCCTCCAAATGCGTATTGTCCAAGACAAGTATTGAGGAACAAACTAACATTGGGATAGTGCTGAGGCTGGTATGTGAGGGTGTGCACGGGAGGCCTTGGTCTACATGGGAATCACCAGAGTAACCACTTAAATGGAGAACCTCCCTAAACAGATGCTGAGAGGCACAGTCTGCTAACTAAATTGTAACAATCCAGAGAAACTAGCTTTCCTAGCAACTTCTTAAAATCCTTACTTAGCTGTATCATTATGAAATTGTTTTAAAATGCTTTATAATTCGGGGGGCTTTACATTTTCTTCTGGTGCTAGGTGATAGCGCTACCTGTATTTCATCTTTTTGGAAAGTGTCATTTATTTAGTATAATACTTACCTATTTTTCTTCTTTGCGGAATTGGTTTTAATAGGCCTATGAGGTAATTCCAGATATTGGTTTGATGGATTAGAAAAGGTTTATGCTTTATAAAGCTTTAGGTAACATCCCAGATAAATGACCGCATATTTCATGTTCCTTTGCAGCAATGATAGCAGTTGTTCTGCAGGGTTAGTATGGATATATTCTTCTGTCACAAACCTAAAGTATAACTCCTTTTTTCTAAGGTTGAGGTGAACTTTTGATGCTTCACTAAAAATTAGTTGATATCTAGGAAAATTACCAGAAGTATCACTCACTTTTTATAATTCTTACCAATTATAAGTGAAATTCTCTTTCCACGGAGTGAGAAGGTTGATTATTCATTGCAAGAAGGTTACCATCTTTATTAGGGAAAAAAAAGGTCAATTTCAGAATCCTTTTTTCATCATCTTAATATTTGATGTTTCAGTGTAATTTTTTTTTGGAGATAAATCCCAGTTCAGGGTGCTCAGCACACTTTTGGAATTACCAGAAGTTCCTGAGAAACCTTTGTGATAGATTGTTCCGGATGCCTCCTGAACTGAGTCAATGCACCTAAGTTTCTAGGGCAAGCTGAATTTTCATATAGGCATATGTTACTTTGGTTTGCGGGAAACAGAAAAAAATGGGATCTGAGAACACCTTTCTTAAGAAAATTAATTATAACAATAGTGCTGCCCTCCTTTGTTGGAAATAAACTATAAAACAAAGTAGGTTATTTTTACATGTCGAATCTTATAATTGGAGTACTGGAGAAACAAACACACACACAATTCTTAATACTTGGTGCATCAGCTACATTAAGTATTACTAGTTTACCTTTTGAATGGAAAATACAATTCGTTATCACCAAGGATAAATGTTTGAAAGGAACATTTGATTAACTAAAATATCACATTAGTTTCTGGTAAATATGTGTATAATCATTGAAATTAAAATTTAATTTGCCAGTTTCACTATTTGAGTTAATATTTGCTATTCTTTAGATAGAATAAATTGAAGATCTTTTCTCCTCTGATTACTTCACATTTGGTTTTCCATAATTTGCATTAACATCGATTTCATTTCACAGTGTCTATGAGTGCCTCTTTCTTGCAGAAACGAAAACAGGAAAAATTACTATAATTTTGTTATATTATTAATACATATCTGTAATTGTTATAGAACAGCTTTAATATTTCCAACATATAAAATTAAATTAATTTCTGAATTCTTGAAATTTTTTAATTGGATAAGTCACATCATGCAGAGTAGAGATCATTTATATTTTGTTAGACTGTTTATAATTACTATGTATTTAAGGTTGAAAGTAGATATAATACATATAAATTCAGGTCAGACTTGGAACCAGAATTCTGTGTTTCTGTATCTAATACCCAGATTGTGTGTGTGTATAACCATGTAAAATTCTATTCGAATTTTAAACACCAGCAAATATTTAAATTAACCCAAGTTTTCATCTATGGTAATGATGCTAAATTATCAATATAATGTAACACTTTGTAGTGTGCCTTTGCATTAATTTACATTCCCAAACACACATGAACACACACATATGCAAACTCGAGAAGCTCAACGGTCTAGAAACTAGTATTTGTGAACTTAGGCTTCTACTGTAGTTTATTGACAATTAAAAATGACCAAGTTTAATACAAAAGCACGTTGTTATTTTTTATATGCATTAAACATTTTTGCAACTTTGAACCTGCTATGCTTTCCAGCATTATTAGCAAAACCAACATCTGCCACATCTTCAAAGGAACTCTTAAAAATCAAAACTTTACAACTGTACTTAAAACAATCTATACAAAGCAGGTGATTCTGAAAAAATGTCTATAAATAGTGTGAATTGCTCAACTTCAATTACGTTTGATTGTTCTTCAAGCAATGCAATAATAGGTATAAGCTGTTCACTTTCAGTTAAACCAAACTAGACTAATCAATCTAATTTTAGTTTGTACGTAGATAATGTAGTAAACAAAGATATAAATACTTTTATTCAAATTAATTGAGTATAAGTATATATTTTGTAAAAAAATAAAATTATAAAATAAAAAGGAGTTATTTGGGGGATGTGGATTTTATAAGGGTTTGAATCATTAGATTCTTCTCACTCAAATTGCAAATATTTTATTTATAACTACTAGTTCATCTCCTGGCTATCCAGAATGACAAACAGGTATTATGGCAATAAGATGCTGGAAGTTGAAATACAGAATGTGTTACCCACCCTAACTCTGGTATTTATTATATTGCGAATTTTTCCCCAAATATTTCAATCATCATGTTTTCTGAAAGAAAAAATAAAAGTTACTTTATTATCATATTGGATTATAGCTTTTCAACATTTATCATAGTATTAATAAAAATAGTCTGTTGAATCTTGATGATTATAGAATACAGAACGACCTAACTATCTCAAGTTTATTGCATATAATAATCAGTTATTTTCTGGTGTAGTAGATGAATTTTAAGTGTGAACACTTTAAAATGGTGACCTGCCATAAAAAAATTCAAAGTGCCATTGACCTACATGAATGTTCTGAAATGATTACACTGAAAATTCAAGAGCAAACAATTCTTTCAGAATTTATTGTTGGAAACTAGAATGAAGAGAAGCTGAATGCATATAAAAATAGGAATCGGTTCTGGTTTTGTATGAGTATATTTATAGTTCACGTGAAAAGGAAAAGCTTTAAATGTTAGGCACGTACTGCTAAAACTTTCATTTGAGCTAAAAATTCAGGACTAAAATATTTAAAAATTTAATATTTGTTCACAGTACTTATCAATGGAAACTGTTATGTTGGCACCTAGTAAGCTGATATCCACTAATAAATTGGGAAAAAAATCTCTCAAGAATTTCCCAGTTTTCACTCTGTTTGAAAGCCTTCACAGCTTTGAAATTTATAATGGATTATAAAACTTATTATTAGACCTACGTAGTCTAAGAAATTAATTTTAAATAGAAATAAAATAGCTAAAAGGATCAACCCACAGATTTAGGGAAATTTGGGAAGTTATTTTCATACTTAATAGAATAATCAATATTTTTCATTTGAGAAATAACCTATGGATGAATTAATAGCAAATTATGTAAAAAAAGCATATATAAATATACTACATATTTTTGGTATGGGTAGTGTTGCCAATTTTATCCATTTATTTTATTAAAAATTATGGTTTAAAACATAAAAGAAGATGTGAGGGAGGGCTTTTTAGAGTTCTAGCCAATGAAAAAGCAACATACTGCTACAATGTATTTTATTTTTGGATTATTTTCACTTCAGTAATTTATTTTTATATTTTCAGAATCTATCTCTTTTGCAATAATTGCTATCATGATTATGAACATCTATGAATGATAAATGCTAAGGATAGAAGAATGTTAGAAAATAAAAATAAAGCACTATCTTCATTATATATTGGTTGAGTTAATAGTTGTAGATGATTTACTCTGAAATTTTCTGTATTTTTGCTGTATTGTTTTTTATGATAATAAATCAACTTGTGAGGAAAATACATTAGCAAATGAAGTGATTATGGAGTAGCATCTTTTTTTTCTTCTTAATTGTAATCATAAATTAAGAAATATTAATACTTGAGTGGCCAGTTTAATTACATTTCCTGAACTATTACATTGATGACTGATGCCTATGGAGAAATGAAAAAAAAAAAAAAGATAAAATACAAAGACCAAAATCCAGAAAGTAGAAATTGAGGTAGGTATGATATGTATTTCCTACGCACTTTATTTAAGTAAGAAGACACACTGAATTGTCACAATTCATTTCTCTATATTATGTCTTATTCGTTTTATGGTTTACTTATCAATTTGTAAAGGTTATAAAGAAAATGAGGGTTTTTCTGTTTTTGCTA